AAGAAAGTATTGAAGGTTAAAACAGATGAGAAATAAAAAGCGTCTCAATGTTGCGTGGCACCAGAACGTCTGTCGTTCACTATTACATCAATCTACTCTGATTAGCACATTGAAAACACCAACAATAATAGGAAGTTTGACTGCTAATCAGATTAAAATATTATTTTAGGAAACATTTGTAGAAGAAAAGCCCTGATTTTAAATTATGAAGCCACAGGATGTTGATTCTTCAGCAGATTATTTTATTAAAATTCACACTTTGCAGCTCCGTCTCTGAGAAATAATAACCGCTGCTCAGCCTCCAAGGATTGAAGCTTTAATTTTCTCTTATTTTTGTAAAGTTTTGAACAATTGCCTTTTTGTTTTCTGTTTTGTTGCTTTTTAGCTTTTAGCCTGAAATAAGCTGTAAATCCTACAGATGTTTAGAACAAAAGTATATATAGGAATATGAGAGCGACTTTATGGTGTATCGTAAATGTAAGCACAATCTACTTTCTCCAAAAACATGGATCAAAAATGATCATTCTATGTATTTAGTTGAATGAGACGGGGATTCGGTGAGGGAGGAAAATCCCTGAGAGGTTTATGGGTTCATAGAAACGATGAAATGTTGTTTTTTTGTCGTTTTCTGAGCTTGAAGTCATTTCTGCTTCCATGAAACCCGTCAGAGTCGATCCTATGGATGTTTCTGTCGTAACGTCTGGATGTTTCTGTCGTCTCGTAGTGATTATGAAGGAGTCGTGGCAACGAACAGAGTCGACCCGGAGAAATGGAAGGTCAAAGGTCAAACTCCAGTTCTTTTATTTTTAGTTTTTAATTTGGTTGTGATGAAACTGATGGGATATTATTTCCTTTTTTAGCAAATAGAAATTTTTCATTGACTGTCTGGTTGTCTTAATTTAGTAAGATTTAGAATAAATGGTGTCAAAATGAATCTTGTCTAATTTTAGATTTTTAATAAAATACTGAATATCAGGATTTCTGTGGTTAAATGAGTTGAGGATCATTTATGGTTTGGAGAAAAGTATGAAGTTAAGATTTGGATTAGGCAGGAAGTGAAATGAAGCCCAAATAACTAAATAATAACTGGATTGTTTGTTCAAAGTGAGAATTAAAGCTGCAGTTTGTTATAAAATTATATATTTTTACACGTTTGTTGAAACTCACCATGTTGTGACAGATAATCGGTTAAAAGTAAATAAATTAATCTCGTTGGCTCGTCCAAATGCAAACTAAAAAACAACCAATCAGAGCCGGGAGGCGTGTCTTAGCGCTGTTAATCATCCTCTGTGTAACGCTCATCATCCTCCTCCCTCAATGCTAGTTTAGCCTAGTTAGCCTAGCCACCGATGACAAACAGAGAAACAGTTTTCCTGTAACAATATGCTGTTCTTTGCCATCAGCACATTTAACTGCGAGTTCATGAGAGTGATTGACAGCGCTAAGCCCCGCCTCTCGGCTCTGATTGGCTACATTCGGAGCATTTCTTCAGACAGCAGCTCAGAGAGAAGATGGAGGAGATCAGATGATCTCTCCCATAACAAACATGAAAACATCTGAATAAAAATGACGTACTGCAGCTTTAAATGTTTCTGCAGTTTCATTTCTGTTTGGCTCGTTTGGTTGCCACGACCTTTGACTCCTGTAAGTGTGTCTTGGTGATAAACGTCGGTGCCTCTGTGTGTCTGGTCTCTGTTTGCAGGATGTTGCATGTTGTTTCCTATAATCTTTGGTTTTTATTGTCCTGTTGAGATCAAGGCCTTTAACTCTGCTGATCATTTGGTGCAATAAAGTGGAAACAGGAATATTGATCAGTTTTGTCTGTGTTGGAGTTTTTATTTTACTTTCTTTTGCTTGTTTGAGTCGATTTCAGAGTCTTAATTAGATCATCAGCAGAAACATTTCAGAATTATTCAGCACAAACCAAACACTCTCAGGTTAATGATTCCATCATTTTGGGACAAAATCTAGATTGAAAACAAGATTTTAAATGATGATAAATTAAATTTCTCAGATAATCAAACACATTTTATCTCTTTTACAGCAACAATCCATTGTAGTTTCGAGAACTTCCTGTTAGCTGAACGTCTCTGGAGCAAAGCGGCTCCGTCCATAACCGGGGTTCTGTGGAGCGGTTCTGAGCCGTCGCTATCCTACAGTACCTTTACTTTGGAAGAAGCTCGGTTCTGGTGTTTTGTTGAGAACTGACCCGTTTTCCAGCCATCACCAACACTGAAGAAGAGCGCAGTATCAAGATGGCCGACGCCCCTGCGCTCCTCTGGGTCGCCGCCATGTTTCCTTGTCTTCGGTTCAACGAGACGCTGGGCGTCGCCGTGTGCAGATGACACCAGATTTGGCGTTTGGCCACAAAATGTAACTTTTTGAGTTCCCTCTGTGACTTTTTTCCAAAAATGAAATCAGCGTTTTTATTTCTATATCACTAGAGATGTGAAATGAAAAATCACTCTGCAACACGTGCTGCATGTAGTGAGTTTGATATTAAACTCATAAATATGAATTTTAATGTTTCTCTGAAACATTAAAATTCCTAAAATTATCTAAATAAATTCCTGGCTTTCAATCAGTCGCTGATTCATCTCCTCATTTTGATATCATATAAAACTGATTTATGCAAAGCAGGTTCAGGCAAAATGTTTATGAAATTATCTCATAAAGTTTGTATTTTTAATCACTTTTGAAATGAATTTGTTCTAAAGCTTGAATCGATTATGACCAAATATGCAAATTAGGCGATGACATCATTGAGAGACTTTAAAGATAGTTTTCACTGATGCAAATTTATGTCATAACTTCATAATGATCATTTTTAGCCATTTTTTAATCCAGATTTTGTCTAAAAGTCGAATAAACCGATAAATCGGTTCAGATTAAATTATTAAACGGCGCCGGCGGTAAAACTTCGTCTTTCTCCTGCAGCGATCGCCTGTGAGTAAGCTACTGCCTGCTGACACCATCTCCTCAGAACCCGGCTAAACAGAACCCGGCTCCTCAGAAACCCGGCTAAACAGAACCCGGCTCCACAGAACCCGGCTCCACAGAACCCGGCTAAACAGAACCCGGCTCCACAGAACCCGGTTTAAAACTCCTTTTAGGAAACGTTGAGCTTCAGGTTTTCATCGATTTGTCGCAGAAACACGAAACGTTTCAGGGACAGAAATGTTCTGCGTTTAGGAAACGATGCAAAAACTAGTAATTTAATGAAGCTTCATTGATTCATTAAAGGTTCCTGTGATTATTGATCCGTTTTGTCTCACCACAGTAAATGTTTTATTCTGTGTGAGTTAGAAATTCATTCAACATTATATTTGCACCACAAGTCATAGATTTTACTTCTTACTTTTATATCTTAATCAAAATGTTTCCTTCTCTCCTTCATGTTCATGTTTTTGTTTTATATTAGTTGAAATAATTCAGTTTTTCTTTCATGTTTTAGAAAATTCTTCATTTTACCTATAAATTTAAACAATTTTCAAGATTTACATTGATAATTTTGCTTGATTTTGAATTCATTGCTTTGTTTTTTAACTGAAAAATCATCCATTTTCCAGTTAAATTGATGTTTATAAAGTTTTCTGAGGTAATTATGGAGGAAATGATTATTTTTATCTTTTATTTCTAAGCAGAACCTTTAATTGTGAAGGATGCAGAACTTTAATAAACTAACTCTGTTACTCTGTCATTATTTGTTTTTTCTGACTTTATTTTACTTTAAATGTAAAATTAAATCAAATCAAATCAGTTAATCTGAAAACTTTGTGGCTATTTTTAGTGTTTTTTGTCATTTCATCTCATTTTCTGCACATTTTGTGATTTTTACACCTGAAACAATCATTTATTCTTTAATTATTTTCCTTCAGTCTGAAGAGAAAAAATGAGCTTCACTGATAAAAATCGTCATAAACTTCAGAAAAAGTCAAATAAAAAACTCCAAATGTCTCAATGTTTAATAAATCCCTCAGAAATCTTCTGAATTATTTTAATCCTTTAGAAAACAGAAACAGATTTCATGCGTTCAGCTGCAGATGTTTGTTTTTGCTGAAGCGACTCAGTGATTTTGAAATTGTCTTTATTTATTCAGCGTTGGACGTTAACCTGTTAGGAAACGCTGCAGCTGCACACAAACATTTCAGACTTTTGAAAATTCCTGACTGCAGATGTTTCAGACTCATGTTTATGAATCTTTACTGTCACTTAAAACAGAAACATTTCAGTTGATTTGTTTCCAGAAGCAGGAAGGAACTTTTCTGTCAAATTTATTACTACAGAACATTTCAGCAACAAAACATTTGATTAAAAACACAATAAATAAAAAACATGGAAATTTGAAACAGTTTGAAAGCAGAAAATGTTACAAAAAACAGACAGTTTGAGATGAAAAATGAAAAATGTTGAGATTTTCAATTTTTGAAACTGTAAAAAACTCAGAAAGTTGAAAATTTGTGAATTTTCAAACTTACATTTTCTAGAAAAAACAAAAAAGCTTCAGTTTGAAAAATCTAAAAACATTTCTGGACTTTTGAAATTCCAAAAACTTTCAGAAACTTTTTATAGAAAATATTCAGATGAATTTCTAAGTTTTGGCAGAAATGTGTCGCAGTTTTCAGACATTTAACTGCAATAAATTAGCCAAAGAGTTTTCATTTTATGCAGCGGATAAAAGTCTCTGGTTGATCAAATTTGATCAAATAAATATGATTCTATTGTTAATTGTTTTCTAGGAGTTTAAGTCCTAATAAAGTTTCTGCAAAATATTTTGGTTAAAAACATTTTTAGCCAAACAGAAATCCATGATGTCATCTAGCTAATTAGCTGATGCTAATTAGCTAATGTTAATTAGCATCCAGCTAACTGTAATCAAAGCAGCTGTGAAACTTCTGAAACTCCCGGATCATCGAACGGGTTTAAACATTTGAACAGAAAATATTTGTTCTCTGCTGTCGGGAATCTGGGTTTCCCTCAGACGGATCAATCATGTGTTCACAGTGACAGGAAAAGCTAATGATTGATGGTGACACCATGAGCCAGCAGAGGAAGCCTCAGATCTGAGGCTGAATCTGACCAGGAAGGTTCTGCAACTGGATCCTCGGAACCATCAGGATGAGATCGGACTCCTTCCTCCTGCTGGTTCTCCTCATCCTTGGCTCTCAGGCGGTGAGTTGGGCCGATTTATTCCCTTCAGGTCAAACCGTAACAGAAACTTCATTTCTCCACAGAGATTATTTACTGAACCCAAAAACCTACAGCTTCATTTGTCCTGAGTGCTAAATATTAATGATCAACCTTTAAAATTTGATCAGATCTATAATTTTATGCCACATCTAAACAAAAAACCTGATTTATTTGTTAGAATTTTTGTTGTAACCGACATAAAGTTATCTGGACTTTCTGTTTTTCAGTTCTGTAAAATGTGTTTGAATTATTTATGCTACCAAATTACTGATTAATTATTTTTGACACAATTAAAAAAAGCTCCATATTCAATATTTTCCACAACCCAAGAATATTTATTTAGCTTGTCAGAATATCAATTAAATGTTGCTAATATGCATCTAAGCTTCTTTTAAAATAATCAAATATTATCTGCATAATGCTAAACATTTAGCTTCTGTGCTAAGCTTTGTTTTGACTCTGTCTTATCTTCAGAGTAATCCACCAGACTCAGAGCAGCCGAAGGCCATAGAGCAGAAACAGGTCCGAGAAAAACCGAAGCTTCCAAAACCCCAAACAACTCCAGTGGACACAGCGTCCACAACACCCACAGCGTCCACAGAGTCCACAACACCCGCCCCAAAACCACCACACCACCCGACACGGACCAGTTCCTGGGTCCACAACAATGTCTGGACAAAAAGTAAGTTAGAAAGTTACCAAATGTTTCTCATCTACTAAACAACACCGATGTGACCCAGTGGGGGCGAAATAACAGCTTTTACTGACACATTAGCATTAGCTTCTGCTAAATACCATGTTGTTATAGTGCTTAGCATTAGCAGGGCTAATGTTCATATAGTGCTTTAGCACAGCTGACCTTTTAGCTAGCAGTTCCCAGGCTGGAACCGGCTAACAGCCAGAGAAATGTTTGCTAGCAGGTTCAGGTTGCTAACAGGAAGCTGTTGCTCAGGTTGACCCGGGCGTCGTGTGGCGTGGTGTTCTGCCCTCCGTGGCAGCGCTGCGTTGAAGGTCGGTGTACCTGCAAACTTCCCTACCTGTGTCCCGTTGAAGGCGTGAAACCGGTCTGTGGGGATTCCAACAAGAGATTCACGTCGTACTGTCAGGTAGAACCAGACCTGGCCGTTCTTGACCACTCATCGAGACTCTCTGCTTTAAGAAATGCTGATTTGTTTCCAGGCGATGGCTGCCTCATGCCGGACCCAGAAGCCTGTAATGTCCCACTTTGGAAAAGTCTGCACAGGTTCTGTTTCACAGATACATTTACAGCTTTGTTTTCAGTTTTATAAATGATATTTTCTGTGTTTTGTGACTCCAGACAATAAGTTCCAGAGCATCCTGGACAAAGACACAGGGCTGATCAGGATCTTCCTTCCTAATGCCACCGGAGGAAGAGAGAACCTGCTGCTGTGCCAGCAGGACTGGGACATGGCAGCTGCTAACGTGGCCTGCAGGGACCACAAAAACCCGCTGTGAGGACATTTACCTACAGTTACATCCATGACTGACACAAGCTAACTGAACAACTATTTACAGTGACAAAGGTGCAGCGTCTGCAGACTCTGTGGACTACAACTCCCTGCCGCCCAGCAGCGATCTGCCCAGCCACTGCGTCAGCGTCCACTGCCAGGGCTACGAAATGTCTCTGGCTGAGTGTGAGATCTACGGCCACAAGGCCGCTGACGGCGGCATGGTGGCCACAGCGACCTGCTACAAGGACAGACCTGAAGGTCAGTCTGGGAACATGCTGAGGTCATAAAGATTCAGGAAACACCTGGAAGAGTTTTACAGAGAGAGACGCCTCGCTACGCTCATCAACAGATAAGAAACGTTATCACAGAAAGAATGATAACATCTCTATCTGTTGGTTTCCAACGTTAGCAGAAACAATTTGCTCACTTCTTCTTCAGGAGTTAACCAACTCAGAGTTTAACTAGTATTACCATAAACAACAGTATATAATGCTGTGAACTCGCTGCACAACATGGAAGTCCTCCAGTCCACCAGGGGGCGTCTGGAGTCGGTAATATTTCCTGCATAAATCTTCTGCTGCACTATAACGTTGTAAAAGGTCAAGAATATATTTTCTTTCCTCTTTTATTTTTTCTTCTTCTCTATTTAAAACCTGGTTCCATTTTATTTGGTGCAGACTCCCCCTGGTGGCCTGGAGGACCTCCAGTTTGTGGAGCAAAGATGCAGCATTTCCTTTTGTGTGTTTTGATGTTTGCTGTGTTTTCGCGCCGCTGATGAATATCTTCCATGAATCAGCCGTTTTTAAGGCTCTCATGTTTTATCTGAAAAAAGTCATGAAATACATTAAAATCTGATCTTTTGCAATCCTGTCAAATTATTTATAATATTTAGATGAAAGTTTGATGCGATGTGGTCGCCTCCTCCTGTCTGATTGCGTCTCTACTGCAGAATGCGGCTTCACCTGTGCAAACCAGAAATGCATTTCCCGCAACCAGACATGCGACGGCGTGGATGACTGCGGCGACCGCAGCGATGAGATGTGCTGCAAAAGTAACAACCAAACTCACACATCCAGAGACAAACATGTCGAGCTTTTCCCTGAGCAACGTTGTCCGCAGGCTGCAGGAACGGAGCTTTCCACTGCAGCTCCGGCGTCTGTCTGCACAGAAAGGCGGTCGGCGACCAGCTGATCGACTGCCTGGACGGAGCCGATGAAGCTCAGAGACGAGTGGAAGCTTTCAGGAAGACGACGAATCGCTCAGAGCTGCTTTCCTCATTTGGTGAAGATTGAAACTGATCCAAGTTTCATTTAAACTTGTTTTGTTCAAGCAAATTTAAACAGTTGAAGATTTTAGCCTTGAATGAAGGTTTGAAGATAAAATCATTAATCAATTGATCTGATGTTTGACTCTGACAGCAGCTGGATGTTAAATGTTTCTGCTTCCTGCAGCATCAGCAGCATCAGGTGACGTGGACGCAGCTCCAAACCCCTCAGGTAACAACTGTGTTTATATTTATTCAGTTTTTAGTAAATCTGGATGTTTTTAAATATTTCATGTCTCCTGTCTTCATTTCAGAGTACATCTCTCCTAAAACCGGTGAGTAACCTTCAGCTGCAGGTAGGAAACTAAAGGTTTACTGAGAAGGTCAACCATAAATAAATCCTCAGTATGTTCAGACTGAGCCACAGACATATTGGTAATGTCAATAAATCCTATAATCAGTTTGATAATCTTTCAAAAACACATTTAAACACAAATTATTTCCATTTCTATTCATTTTATCAACCTGTTAAAAATATTGAAAATCAATATTTTGTCAGGAAAATGCAATAAAGAAATTAATCTACATTATTTTATCATTCATATTTAACAAATATTAACATAAATAATCATAAAAATATTTTATGACGTATCAATAATGTGAGGAAAATAAAAACTGAGTGTTGATGCTCTGAGTTTCTGTCTGTGGTGCTGATTCTGATTCTAACGCAACCCAAAGGTTCCCTTCAGGCACTTCATCTGTTTTTAGCTTCATTTATATTATTTCACACTTTTCTGTGTCTGTGTTCAGAAAATCAATAGAAATATATTAAAAATCCTAAAAAGACCAAAAGAAAATTTAGCTCTGAGGCTAAATTAATGTTTCAAATCACTTTAAAGTCGAGTTTTGATTTTTTCTGTAAATTTCTAAATTGAAATGTTTTCTGTTCCTGAAGCAGAAAAATTTCAAATCATTGAAAAGTTCAGTACTAAACATACTAAACCTCACTGTTGGCGGGCGCTAATGCTAAAGCGCTAACTTCAGACCTGAACTCTAAACACTACAATCATAAATTACCAGATTAATTTTGACTTCATTTGCATGATTTATAAAACATTGTTTATTTTATTCGTCTTTTGTTTCTTGTTTCAAATAAAATTATTGGGGAAAAACAGCCAGAATCTGAAACGCTACATAAACAGACTTCAAAATAAGAGCATGAATATAAACATCAAACTACTTGAATATTTCCCAACAATCAACAACAAAACTGAAACACAGAAATCAAACTTTACTCGACTTAAAGTTTATGAAACTCACAAGTAAATTATAATTTTATAAACATTAATTCAGGCTTGTTAAATGTGCAAAATTTAAAAAACAGAATTATATGTTTATTGTCATTGTGCAGAAGCTCCACAGAATTTAATTTCACAACAAATAATTGCTCCACCATCAGCAGAACGTCACTAAAACTGAAGTTTAGCTTCATTTAGAGGCAGTTTGTAGAAAAAAATGAGATTTTCTGTTATTTCTGCAGTTTGTAGTTTTCATTCTCTGAAGTGGCGCCACCTGCTGGAATGATGTGGTACCTGTTCATAACTTCAGCTTCTGGTGTTTCAGCTGAACAATAATCCAACCATCCATGCAGTCCAGCAGCTGAGACATGAAACATGTTGTTTGTTTGTTTGTTTGTTTGTTTGTTTGTTTGTTTGTTTGTTTCCAGAAACCAGAGCCATCAGGAAGCTTCTGGAGGACAAGCTGTCCTGTGGGATTCCCAACATGACCTTGGTTGACAACACAGAACCGGACGACCGAGCAAGAACCAGGAGCAAGAGGGTGGTGGGAGGAATCCCGGCCAAGCCGGTCAGTCGCAGCCCGAGTTGCCAGATCAAAACAAGCAACAAGCAGAACTGGCAACCCGGAAGAGAAAAGATACAACTGAAGTTAAACAGTAAAATATAAAGTATTTTTATTCATAGATTAATTTTAAGCCAGTAGTGATGATGAAAGTTGTTTTTTTTACATTTTTGCATGTTTATTTTCTATTTCCATTTTTTGATGCACAAATAAGCAACAAAAAATGTCAACCTGCAACTATATAAAACAACAAGCCCAGAGTTGCTTATAATCAGCAGACCTGGCAACCCGTTAGTTACAATCAGTGCAGGTTTGAACAGTTACAGTCTAAAAACCTGTTTAGCTGCAGACGAATCATTTTCCTTCTATAAACAGTTATTGAGCAGCAATATTGATACTTTAATCATTGATTAATTATCACTTCATTTTGTTTCACTGCTGCTGTCAAAATGTTTTTTGAAATCTGTATTTCTGTCATGTGGACTGAGATCTTTCGAGGTTATTCAGTAATGATTGAAAGCCGATGATTCTCCTTCCTGCTGGGCTGCAGACTCAGATCCAGTGGCAGGTGGCGATAGAGGAGAACCGCAGGATCGACTGTGGAGGAGCTTACATCGGCGGCTGCTGGGTCCTCACCGCCGCTCACTGCGTCCGGTACGACCCAGAAGAACCAGAACACGTCGCTAGCATTCGAATGCTAACACTCATTTGGCTCAGACACTGAGGAAAAACAGAACAGCTGATTATTGTAGCCAAACATGCAGGAGAATCGCTTGCATGGAGCAGTTTTTCATTTCACTGCAGTTTTTTTCCTTCAAGTGAAGCAGTGATCGACTTTATGCTCACAAACAAGGTTTTTAAACCTGGTTTTCTAACAGCGGAAGAGGCAGAGAACTCAAAACTTTACTTACGTAAGAGTAAAAATGTTTATGGTAAAAAATATTAAGTAAAAAAAGTTTATTTAATTAGTGAGTAACTGATCAAATTATCAATCACTTAAATATTACATCATCAGAGGGACCAAAATGTTAAGATGAGTGGAAATTTTGGTGTTTTAAGGACCAAAATGACAATAATTTGTATAAGTAACAAAAAATGTTCTTTCAATAAAAATTTGTGAAACTTTAACAGACTCTGCAGCTGTGAGTTTGAATCTGGTGGGAAATTCAGACATTTTACTCTAGTAAGAGTAGAAATACTTCCTAACAAAGTTACTCAAGTAAAAGTAGTGAAAATACTCCTAAAAGTATTTTTTTTTTCTCAAAACATTTTGTGAAGTGACAGTAACTCGTTTCTTTCCTCCACAGGCCGAATCCTTCTGCGTTCAAAGTCAAATTTTCTGTCTGGAAGAAATTTCGCCCTCAGGGAACGACGGACATCGTTCCTGTGGCGGACATCCGCATCCACCCGAAGTACGAACCCACCTGATCACTGATTATTGATCATAAATCAGTCACACAGGAAGCTCAGATTCCCTCTCTTCCCTCAGCTACGTGCCGTCGACGTACGAGAACGACATCGCGCTGGTGCAGCTGGAGAAGCTCCCGTTCACAGATAAATGCCTGGAGGACAACCCGGCCATCCGGCCCGTCTGCTGCGTCCCCTGGACCACCCAGCTGTTCCCGCCCAACCACACCTGCAGCATCTCCGGGTGGGGCCGCACCGCAGGTACGAAGTGCAAACACCGGAACCGCAAACACCGGAACCGCTTCTGATTATCACACCTGCTCTAAACCTGCTCAGATGTTTTCTGGCTCCAAGACATTTGGATGATAAAATCTGAAATGTTTTCAGGGTGAGAGGGATTGACTGGGTCTCACTTTCCACCAGCAGGTGGCAGCACTGCCCCATCAGGTTGCTTGTTAACGTAAAACAGAAGCAGAAGATGAAGACGAACCAATCAAACGATGTGATCATTTTCATGTTCTCTAACCTGAATGTTTATGTCTGAAAGACACAAATTATTCCAAAATTATTAGAATAAAATGATGCTGAACGTCCAGAGACAAAAACAGTCGCTGGAATAAAAATTATCAGATTTTTTTTAAGAGATTTTGTTTTCGTCTATAACTATTTATCAGATGAAAAGAGGCAAATTGGGAACCAGATAAAAATGAATTTGTTTTTTAAATCAATCTTTCCACTCAGTTATGAAGATATTCGAACAGATAATAACTGGAGAATATTTAGGTTTATGAACAGAATTGAATTTTATGCTGGAAGTGTTTGACAGTGACTTTAACATGTTAATCCAAGATAATCTCAGACATAATCTGGGTTTTAGATGTTCAGTGAACCTTTAGACCTCAGCTGGTACCGTGAATTAATCCCTGTAATCCGGGCTGCAATGGCGTCCATGAGTCCTTGGTTCTGGTTTTGATATTGATGTCTGTGTGCAGACGGCCGGTCGGCCCAGGTGCTGCTCTGGGCCAACGTGTCGCTCATCTCCGGCTGCGAATCCTCCTACGGGCATCGCTTCAAACCGGGGATGATGTGTGCAGGTGAGTGTGACCGAACCGAACCTGAACCCTGGTCCCAACCCGGTCCCAACCCAGTCCCAACCCTGGTCCCAACCCTGGTCCCAACCCGGTCCCAACCCTGGTCCCAACCCTGGTCCCAACCCAGTCTGAACCCGGTCCCAACCCGGTCCCAACCCAGTCTGAACCCTGGTCCCAACCCGGTCCCAACCCGGTCCCAACCCTGGTCCCATCCCGGTCCCAACCCAGTCTGAACCCGGTCCCAACCCAGTCCCAACCCGGTCTGAACCCAGTCCCAACCCTGGTCCCAACCCTGATCCCAACCCTGGTCCCAACCCAGTCTGAACCCGGTCCCAACCCTGGTCCCAACCCGGTCCCAACCGTGGTCCCAACCCCGGTCCCAACCGTGGTCCCAACCCGGTCGCAACCCTGGTCCCAACCCAGTCTGAACCCGGTCCCAACCCTGGTCCCAACCCCGGTCCCAACCGTGGTCCCAACCCTGGTCCCAACCCAGTCTGAACCCGGTCCCAACCCTGGTTCCAACCCGGTCCCAACCCTGGTTCCAAGCCGGTCCCAACCGTGGTCCCAACCCAGTCTGAACCCGGTCCCAACCCTGGTCCCAACCCAGTCTGAACCCGGTCCCAACCCTGGTCCCAACCCAGTCTGAACCCGGTCCCAACCCTGGTCCCAACCCAGTCTGAACCCGGTCCCAACCCTGGTCCCAACCCAGTCTGAACCCGGTCCCAACCCTGGTCCCAACCCAGTCTGAACCCGGTCCCAACCCTGGTCCCAACCCAGTCTGAACCCGGTCCCAACCCGGTCCATCTGTGTGCAGGAGACCTGGAGGGAAATGTGGACTCGTGTCAGGGCGACAGCGGCGGCCCGCTGGTCTGTGAGGACGAACTCGGGGTTTCCTACCTTTGGGGCATCGTGAGCTGGGGGGAGCGGTGTGGCCATCGGGGTTTCCCAGGGGTTTACACACAGGTGAGACTGGTTCTATTTCCAGTTTAACCATTAAACACCCAGTTAACTGGTTCTCTCCTCGGCAGGTCGCTCATTACTTTGAGTGGATCCGGCTTCACACCGGCTGGTCTGCAGTCACCAAATTTAACTATTAAAGAAACTTTTCACCTTTTCTCACCTGAAAGTGATTTCGGCTAAAACTTTGTTCTGGTTTGCTGATCAATAAACTAAATAAATAACGTCCTGACAACAAAAGGTGACTTTTTACTGGCAAGATTCACAAAACATTTCAGGTTTTTCTTCTTCCATTCGAGTCTCTGCTGATCATAAAAACAGAGCAACTTTCTGGCTCAGGTCATGATTTTTGGTGTCTGGAAAATGAACCATTTAGAAATCCTAAAATCCTGTCAATAGCATGTTTGTTACTGACCTACTTCACTTATACTTCTACGTCAGTTAGCTAAAATGCTAAGGGTATTTAAAATCCTTTTGATAGCATGTGGGCTATCACTAGCATGACAGACTTCATTAAGTATATTAATCTATTTAACATTAGCTAAAATGCTAATGTTAGCATGAAGGCTATCAGTATTATGTTGACTAACTACTCCTATGCAAACAGCTAAATTTAGCTAGAATGCTAATGTTATCACTAGCAGGTTCCTTTATTTATCGGATTTTCATTAAATCTTTTCTGTTCAACATAAACATCCAGAATTTCTTCAGGTTCCCTTTAAACTAGAAAACTGATCCTGACAGAACATCAGCAGAGAGACGCTGCTTTCCCAGGGTTTTACTTTATTTACCAAATCAAGAGCAAAACTAAACGTCTTTTATTAAAAAAGAAACATTAAAAAGTGCCAACATGCAGAAGCATCAGGAACTTCTCTGAGGCTGGATGTGATCGACTGGCAGCTGCAGGTGGATGGAGCTCCTCAGCCTCCGCAGGTCGTCCTCCACCTGGAATCAAACGGATCGGCTTAACGGAAACCCGCCCCGGGTCTGATTACCGTCGCCATGACAACAGAGAAACGGGATGATCAATCAGATTTAAACAGCTAGCGCGTCACCTTAGCTAGCTCGTCCTTCAGCTCGTTGTATCTGTCGACATCAAACCTCTTCCGCGGCGTTCCTTGTGGAAGTGAAGCAAAAAACTGACGATCCAAAACGTCAGTCATGACAAAATCCTGCAGACAAATTTACTATGAAGCTCAAAGCAAAAATGATACAAACCATCCAACATCCAGAGAACGAAGATACATTTAAAAATCCTGACATGACAGGTTGATGCAGCTTAGAGTTTAATACTTTAGCTAGCACTGAAAAATTAGCAACTAGCAATGAAGTATTAGCAACTAGCACTGAAACATTAGCAACTAGCACTGAAGTATTAGCAACTAGCACTGAAACATTAGCAGCGAGCATTGAAATAGTAGCAGCTAGCACTGAAACATTAGCAACTAGCACTGAAACACTAGCAGCTAGCATTGAAACATTAGCAGCGAGCATTGAAACAGTAGCAACTAGCACTGAAGCATAAGCAGCTAGCACTGAAACATTCGCAACTAGCATTGAAATATTAGCAGCAAGCATTGAAACATTAGAATAGAATAGCATTTATTGTCATTGAACAGGATTCAACGAAATTTCTATTGCAACTCCCGTGCAAAAAGTCAAAATATACATTATTAAATAAACAAACACACAATAATAATAATAATATATACAACTAAAATGAACTAAAGGCACTCAACCACACCAAGAAGAGGGGGCATCCCACAATGCCTTGTGCTGTTCTCACCACCCGTGTCAGTTGTTTCCTCTCCTCTGTGGTATGGTAGTGCTGTGCAGCCACCATACCACACAGTCACGTTGAGGCAGAGGACGCTCTCGATCGTCGCCCTGTAAAAGTTCACGAGCAGCCATGAGGAAAGTCCAGCCCGTCTCAGTTTCCTGAGGAAGAAGAGCCTTTGTTGTGCTTTCTTCACCAGGTGGGAGGTGTTGGTATTCCAGGAGAGGTCAGACGTGATGTGGAGGCCCAGGAACTTGATGTTGTCCACACGCTCCACCTCTTCTCCATCTATGAGAAGGGGAGTGTGACCCGTCCTCCTGGACCTTCTGTAGTCCACAATGACCTCCTTGGTCTTCCCTGTGTTCAGCACCAAGTTATTGGCTGAACACCACTGAGTGAGCTGCTGAATTTCCTCTCTGTAGTGGGTCTCGTTGTTGTCTGAAATGAGACCCACTACAGTTGTGTCGTCCGCAAACTTGACGACTGTGTCAAGTGTCAAGCTAGCACTGAAGCATAAGCAGCTAGCACTGAAACATTAGCAGCTAGCATTGAAACATTAGCAGCTAGCACTGAAACATTAGCAGCTAGCACTGAAACATTAGCAGCTAGCATTGAAACATTAGCAGCTAGCACTGAAACATTAGCAGCTAGCACTGAAACATTAGCAGCTAGTACTGAAACATTAGCAGCTAGCACTGAAACATTAGCAGCTAGTACTGAAACATTAGCAGCTAGCATTGAAACATTAGAAGCTAGCACTGAAACATTAGCAGCTAGCACTGAAACATTAGCAACTAGCACTGAAACATTAGCAACTAGCACTGAAACTGGCTCTAACTGGTTGTTTGGACCGACCTGCTTGGTCAGGAGGTAGTAGCCGAAGAAGAGCATGCTGGTGGCGCAGGAGATGAAGAAGGTGACGGGCTCCATGACGTCCCAGGCGAACACGTACCTGACAGAGACACCAGAGACATCAGGAGGCTGCAGCACACAAGAACTGATGCTGCTGCACCACAAACTGACTCAGTATTTACTGCAATACATGACAATGTTGTTGTTCTGAGACCATTTTCAAATAATGTAATGGTAATAATGGAATAATAATAATGAATAAATAATACATAAATGTTAATCTCCTTACTGAGTAAATTAAAGCACTGAAGCATAAGCAGCTATAATTCAAAATTGAAGGTTGTTGTCATCCAGATTTTTGTAAAAACAAAGAGAAATGAAAAAGGACCAATCCAAACTATAAATGGATTGATCTCGTCTTAATTCATTGGTATATTGAGTGATGCAGGTGAGGTGGCTCACCAGGTGAGGTATCCCAGGAATCCCCCCTGCAGCGACAGGTAGGCGAGCCCCACCCACCCCACCAGCATCGCTCGCCGCTCTGCTTCCTTCGCCAGCTGAACTTTGACCTGAAACCAACGACATCATCAGCAGGAAATAAAATGTTTGTATTTTAAACATATCAGGAATTCAACATCATATTTAAATGCTGTGAGTCTCTCATGTCAATGACAGCTTTAAGTTGCATTTTTTCTAACAGTTTTTAACATATTTTTATTAGAAATGTTTACTGTAAATTAAACTATTTTATCTTCACATTAAAATCTGTTGTAAATCACAGTTCTGGTATGTTTTGCATTTCTTAAACTCTTCCATCGACCAGCTACACATTAAATTAGCCTCTTTGTCCAGCATCTTTAATATTCACTGTCGTCTTTCTGTCAGGTCAATAATTCAGGATGAGACTCGTACGTCCTCCAGCGGCTGCAGCTGCCCTGCCAGCGTCTCCTTCCTGGCCAGCAGCGCCGCATGCTGCAGGTGCAGCCGCTTCAGGGCGGCGTGGAGGAGCTGCACCGTGTGCTTCATGTCGTCCAGACCCAACACGTGTGCGCTGGACGAGCCTCACGGACAAACAGAGCACAAAACGTTAGCTCGGTGCCGCCAGCGCCCCCCGCAGACGGGAACAGGCGCTACCTTGTCTCAGCGAGTGAACGCTGTAGACGACGTCATCGATGTGGATCTGGAAGTTGCTGTTCAGAACCGTTTCCATCAACGTGCAGGAGGAGATTCTCTGTCCGTCTGAGGAACGAAACAAACGATCAGTTTCATGACCTCAGGAGGTCGTGGCGCCCCACAGGTCAGGCTGATGAACATTTTCTGGGTGCTGTGCAGCTAGAAGGATTTCTTTACATTTAGACGATGTTAGCATGTATAACCGTAGCAACAGGCTGTTGTTTTTAGCGTCTAATAACCCCTGAACTTTGACCCCAAACACCAGAAAGAGGAGGATAAACGGAGGCAGAGTTTGCTCAAACCAACTCTGAGCAACAACAGATAAATTATGAACAGTTTGTGTTGTGACTTTATTAGTTTCAATCTATTCTAATTTGCATAATTTCACTTTAGTTTGTGCTAATCGTATCGCCATCAACAAACTGCTGATATAAAGATGAGCTACGGCTGAGTTGTTGCTAAGGGCCGCAGAGAATCATTTCAAGGGCCGCGCATGGCCCCGGAGCCACACTTTGGACACCCCTGATGTAGGAGACATGGATATTGTCTCTGCTGCCTGGAACCTGTTAGCGTCTCCTGATGGAAATAAGATCAGATCATCTTTCCTGCATCTGCATTCAGTTGATCAAAGTTAAACGTCGTGAGGAAGATTCCCAAAATACCAACTTCTTCAGATTTGAACATTTTTTAATAACTGGAGGCAGAGAGCTTCCAGCTTGTGTTTCTTACCGCTGTTGAAGAGCGCGGCGTCCCCCACAGAGCCGTCTTTAGCCCTCAGGTCGCTCAGCAGGTCGCCCACCGAGGTCAGCATCGGCGTCAGCGCGAAGCGGCAGAACCGACCCGCCGGCAGCCGCAGGGACAGAACCGGCCGCCCGAAGCTGTAGCGCACAGAAACATCTGCAGGACAAAGACGAGAGTTAAATGAGTTACAAACAACAAAGTTCATGATTCAGGCAACAAGAAGCGTCTCTGTTACAAAAACAGTCGGGTTTATTGACCAACAGAAGAAAAACATTAAAAACTGAATCATTTTTAGTGTTTTAATGTAAAATTAAAACATTTTCAGGTGAGTTTTTTAGTTTTTCTGCTATTTAGCATCTCCAATCTAATAACTCTTATTATCATTGATATTTCAGGCGTATCGTAGCAAAAAGCCGCTTTCTGACCAGAGCATCGATTTTAATTCAAATTCACCTGGAGATAAAATGTTTGACTCTTAAATCAGGTCAGACTTCAATAATTCTGATGTTTCTACATTTTTAACCATTTGCATAATTAAAACCTATAAAGTACATGTAATGAGAAATGCTAACATTTAGCTGAGATGCAAACATGTTGAATGTGTCACCAGTTTAACCATTTATGTTCAGTTCACTTCATTTCAATGCACGACCAAATCTACCTGAAAACTTGAAACCATAACAGAAAAGATTCATTTCTTGAAGATTTTATTATGTTTCTCTGATTGTTCAACAGGAAACCTGAAAATAAAAATCCCACAGTGAGGAACAAACTGTCCGGCACTGAGGCGACAATCAACCAGGTTATTTATGTCTTTAAAAGACATTTATTTATCTTTTGTAACAAATCAAGTCCTGTTCAAGTCTCCAGAGCCAATCTGTTGATTCTATTTAAGGAAAACTGATTTTCTTGTCCAATTTCTTAACATGAGATCAATCGTTATGCAGATGATGTTGTGGTGATATTCTGTTATCATGTGTTATGTTTTACCTTTGGATGTAGATTTACTGCTGAAGCTGGAAATGACGGAGTTGGACCAGAAAGGACTGGACTGAAAGACGAGCAGAACAAATAAAACTCTACAAACTGCAGTTATTTTATTCTGAAGGGTTTAGTTTTTCTGTTTGACACAGAAAACTAAACACCAAGTTAAATAACAGCCAGGAAATCTTTGAGTTTGGTGAAAAAGCAGAACAGAAACTTGGTTTGTTAACATTTCAGTTCAGATATTTAACGAGTAATTAAATCCAAATCAAGTCTGTAATCAAGAGATAATAAAGATGAACTGCTTTATGTTTCAATCCAATTTAAAACTGAACTAAAACTTTTATTTACTCTTTTAAGGGCATTTTTCTCTCAAACTCTTGAAACCAAAACTACTTATGAAAATTGCACATGCATTATGTTTACATTTTTAAATAAATACAATATTTACACGATACTGTTAAAAATAAGTCAAATTACGTGAAGAATGAGTCAGAAATGTTTATTATTTTTGACAAACTGTGTTTATCGTAATTTCATCTTAATTTCTGTTTCCATTGGTGCTCTGTTATTTTAGGAAATTAAAAAATATATATTCAGAGAGTTTGAATAATAAACTTCTGCGGTCACATTTAAACAATAAACATGTTTTATTTTGAAGGGCCAGCAGTGTCTTTCTTTTCATATTATGAAGCTGCAGTTAGCATCAACAGCTAGGAGATTAGCAACATATTTTAAAGAAAAATCCCTCAAACACAACCTTTCACAGGAAAACGTTTGACTTTGGCTAAATTTCCCCAGTTTGTCTCATTATTTATGGGCCTGGAGCCTCAGGTCCGATTCATCTCCAGATGTGCAGATCACAGCCATCGCTGTGAGAAACTGCAGCTGAACTTGAGATGTGTTAGCGATGTGCTAACCCTGCCGTTAGCACATGAGCCACACAGTGAGGAAACGCCCACTTCATGTCGCAACATGAGTGAAACATGCATGGAGTCATGTCTGTTACAGGCAGGAACAAAATAAACCCAGTTCCTGCAGTGGTGGAAATATTCACAACCTGATTTAAACTTTAGACTCCATCAATGATTTATTGGGATTTTATGACACAAATCAACACAATGTAGGTTATATGTACAAATATACAAATAGTGAAAGAAGGTTCATCGTTTCTGCAGAGGAGCTGAAAACTAAAGCATGGAGCAGAAAATGAAACTTTATAGATCAAACTTATAAAATCCAGACAGAAGTTAAAATTTGCAACATATAAAACATGTTAAAGCTCAATTTGTTGTTCTGTAGTCACAGTGAACTGAACTTTAAACAGTAAAAATGAAGCTTTTACACACAGGAAGATAAATTCACACACGTTTTGTCGTAAACATGATTCTTTACAACTTGTGGAGAAATTTAGTTCTAAAAGTAAATGTGGTCGACATGCAGAGCAGCTTCAGCTGCCATCACTGAAACACATCATTTTAATCAAACTGCTAACAGACAGCGGCTCCGCTTCCTTCAAGGCTCAACTCACCGTGTAAACTCTGGGTCGCGCCCTTTGAAAGAATCTGACACCGAATCTGCAGAAAACTCTGGAAGCAAACATGATCAGAGGCTCAAACCGGCTGCAAACAAACACTGAGTCTCCTTTCACAGGAAGTCGTGCTGCAGGTGATCAGGAACCGGTTGGTACAGCAGGGCGGTTAACTCTTACCTCGCTGCTGCTTCCTCCCAGGCCGGACGATGATGGAAGCTGCTTTCACTATGAGTCACAGGAGGAAGTCAGAGGAGATCAGAAAAAGTCTTACTTGGCTCTGGAACGGGGCAGGAATGTTCCTGGGAGTCTGGAATGTCCTTCAGGCAAAGAGACGAGTTTCTGGAGGAAGAAGGAAATACCATCCAGACATTTCTGACATGACAGACAAAATTCAGGTTTTCCTTGTATAGCAAACAGATTTCCTCAGGGATAAAATGAGGAATAAGACTGGAAATATCTGAACGGATTAATAAGTGACGAATCAATTCTTAATAATCTGAAATTAAATCTTCAGGAGAATAGCCTTCCTCCAAAAAGGAACAATACAGTCAGAGCCGTAAATTAAATGTAATAATTAACTCCCAGTGTTTCCCAGGCTTTAGTTGCTCCTCCACCAGGCTTTAGTTGCTCCTCCGCCAGGCTTTAGTTGCTCCTCCGCCAGGCTTTAGTTGCTCCTCCACCAGGCTCGAGTTGCTCCACCGCCAGGCTTAGTTGCTCCTCCACCAGGCTTTAGTTGCTCCTCTGGCAGGCTTTAGTTGCTCCTCCACCAGGCTTTAGTTGCTCCTCTGGCAGGCTTTAGTTGCTCCTCCACCAGGCTTTAGTTGCTCCTCCACCAGGCTTTAGTTGCTCCTCCGCCAGGCTTTAGTTGCTCCTCCACCAGGCTTTAGTTGCTCCTCCGCCAGGCTTTAGTTGCTCCTCCGCCAGGCTTTAGTTGCTCCACCGCCAGGCTTTAGTTGCTCCTCCACCAGGCTTTAGTTGCTCCTCCACCAGGCTTTAGTTGCTCCTCTGGCAGGCTTTAGTTGCTCCTCCACCAGGCTTTAGTTGCTCCACCGCCAGGCTTTAGTTGCTCCTCCACCAGGCTTTAGTTGCTCCTCTGGCAGGCTTTAGTTGCTCCTCCACCAGGCTTTAGTTGCTCCTCCACCAGGCTTTAGTTGCTCCTCCACCAGGCTTTAGTTGCTCCTCTGCCAGGCTTTAGTTGCTCCTCCACCAGGCTTTAGTTGCTCCTCCACCAGGCTTTAGTTGCTCCTCCACCAGGCTTTAGTTGCTCCTCCGCCAGGCTTTAGTTGCTCCACCACCAGGCTTTAGTTGCTCCTCCACCAGGCTTTAGTTGGTCCTCCGCCAGGCTTTAGTTGCTCCTCCACCAGGCTTTAGTTGCTCCTCCGCCAGGCTTTAGTTGCTCCACCACCAGGCTTTAGTTGCTCCTCCACCAGGCTTTAGTTGCTCCACCACCAGGCTTTAGTTGCTCCTCCACCAGGCTTTAGTTGCTCCTCCGCCAGGCTTTAGTTGCTCCTCCACCAGGCTTTAGTTGCTCCTCCGCCAGGCTTTAGTTGCTCCACCACCAGGCTTTAGTTGCTCCTCCACCAGGCTTTAGTTGCTCCTCCGCCAGGCTTTAGTTGCTCCTCCGCCAGGCTTTAGTTGCTCCTCCGCCAGGCTTTAGTTGCTCCACCACCAGGCTTTAGTTGCTCCACCACCAGGCTTTAGTTGCTCCCCCACCAGGCTTTAGTTGCTCCTCCGCCAGGCTTTAGTTGCTCCTCCGCCAGGCTTTAGTTGCTCCACCACCAGGCTTTAGTTGCTCCACCACCAGGCTTTAGTTGCTCCTCCGCCAGGCTTTAGTTGCTCCACCACCAGGCTTTAGTTGCTCCTCCACCAGGCTTTAGTTGCTCCTCCGCCAGGCTTTAGTTGCTCCACCACCAGGCTTTAGTTGCTCCACCACCAGGCTTTAGTTGCTCCTCCACCAGGCTTTAGTTGCTCCTCCGCCAGGCTTTAGTTGCTCCACCACCAGGCTTTAGTTGCTCCTCCACCAGGCTTTAGTTGCTCCTCCGCCAGGCTTTAGTTGCTCCACCACCAGGCTTTAGTTGCTCCACCAGGCTTTAGTTGCTCCTCCACCAGGCTTTAGTTGCTCCTCCGCCAGGCTTTAGTTGCTCCACCACCAGGCTTTAGTTGCTCCTCCGCCAGGCTTTAGTTGCTCCTCCACCAGGCTCCACTTTACAAATGTGTGACTGATTTGCAATACGGACGGAGTGGAACTGGTCTGTTCTGCTCTGACTGTTGGTGAAGGTGTTGAACAGGTGACTCTCAGACTGACTGCAGTGTTTAGGAACCAGAACCGACTCCCAGCAGAACTTCCTGCCGAGTCTGGGCCCATGAAAATCTGCAACGACACGGGAAACAGGCGCCAGACGCGTCAGAGGGAATGAAGAGACGCAAAATTATTGACTCTTACAGCAAAGCATATCGGCTCTGCCCACTTTGCTGGAACGTTTTAACTTTTGTGAGGGGGCGGGGCTAATCATTTACACTTTAGACCAAAATTAAAATGAAAAAAATTAAATCCTGCAGTTTTATCTTCATCAGTTCAAATTCAGTAAAAATGTATTAAGCAACTTTTATTAATTAATCCAAAAATTAGTAAAGTCAACCAACAGCTGAACTTTCATGTTAGAAATATTTAGCTGCAGATGTTTTCTTTGCTACACATCATGAAATGTTCCCTAGAGAATTGCTGCTACTGCTGTTTATGCAATTAAATCTTCAGTTTCTTATTTAAAAGAGAAATTTTCAGATACTAAATCAAAAAGTATCAGTAAGTGTTTGAATCTGCAGAATGCGGCGTTTTTACTTTTATCTGATGACTAAAATACTCCAGAGCTGCAGGTAGCTGTGACTGTGAGCTGTGCAGGCTGCCTGGCTCAACGGTTCAGGAACAGAACCGGGTCTCAGTTACAGGGACAAACAGTCAGGGTGACTCACAGCTGTGAGTCACTTTGACGCTTTTTGATCCGATTCTAAACCCTCTGAGCTTCACGAAGCGACAGAAAATGAAAAAACGTTGGTGGCAAAAGTGTTTTTGTTGATTCTGCCAACGTAGCGAAGCAGCTGCTGCTTCAGGATGTAAAAGTAAATATTAACGAAGTGAAAACCTCTCTGCTGAACTGAACCAACATATTCTGGTTCCACTGGACCGGATCGAGTCAGTTTGGGTCGCTTCCTCTGAGACGTTCAGCTGAACCGTCTCGGTTCACTTCCAGGTCAAATGATGCTTCACATCTTCAGCTGGAATAATTAATAATTGATGATGAAGTGAAGCTCTGCTTACGGCTGGACTGGAGCCAGTCGGATCCTCGCTCCGGTGGGATCCGGATGGATCCGGTCCGCTCCAGAACCGGATCATCTCCCAATCGGAGCGAGTCTCAGCTCTGCTAACCAACTCTTCCTCAGGCTCCAACAACGAGCCGTCGCCTTCCTCAGCCGTTTCTTTCTCTATAATATTCACAATCCCAAACTTGAACTGCGCCACCGTCTGCCGCCACCTTTGGCCCCGGGATATCCTGCTGTATCTGCGCTGGTGGCATTTAAATCCAGATGTAATCAGTGGTGATAAAAGCAGCAGCAGCAGCCCTGCTGCCTGCTGGACTGCAGCCTCTGACCACAGCTGGAAATTTCCTCAATAATTTGTGATGAAGAGCCAACAGATGTGATGTGAAAGCGGCTTTTAATAAAGTTATTTAGCTTCTTCAGACACAACAAACCCGATCCTCTCTATCCCTCAGGAAACGCGGCTCTCTGAACGTTTTATCACGTCAGAGATTCTGGCGTGAAGATTTCTCCTCTTCCTCACCAGGATTTTGCTCTTTGTTGGATCCACATTCACAGACTGCTGGGATTTTTCCCAGAATACCCCTGTGCCTGCTGTCTGATGGGCTGGGAGCGCCGGGATCCGCCACTGGTTCTGATCGGCCCAAACATCCAAAGGAGCCATGGAACCGGGCTTCAGTTGGTTCTGAGTTCGGCTGCGTTTGGGTCGTTAAAGCTTTTAATATTTACTGCAGGTTTAAACCAACATGTCTTCTCTACTGTAACATTTACAAACTCCTGATTCAAACACTGGACAACAACCTGAACATTAATCGTCTGATTTAAGGAGAAATGATGGCGCCACTGCAGTAACTAACCATTAAAGGGACACTGCAAACTTTAACAGCATCGCATCAATACGCTTATGCAGTAAGTAGCTTCTGTAAGTTATTCTTACACAGAAGAAGTTAATTATGCTGAAGCATTGGTCATAAAGCAAACACCTGGCCATCAACATGACGGATCTGCAGCGATTAAAAGGCTTTAGCTGCTAGCGTAGCCGTTTATCAGTTTGTTCTTTAAAGAAACAGACGAGTTCGGCTCAGTTTCCTGTTTCTATCCACACCAGCAGCTGAAACGTGCAGAAGCACCAAGGAAAATCAACATCAGCATTTCTTCAGCAATTTGCTTCATGGTAACAAACCAATTCCCCAAAAACGCTGCCAGGACAGACGGCAGCGTTTTCCTCAGGACGGTCCTGAGGAAAACGCGTCTGAAGCATCTGAGGTTATGATGCTTCAGACGCCGACGTCTCTTCTGATGCTGGGATTTTAATGAATTTTCATTACATTTCTTATTAATGGAGACACCTCAACTGTGACATTGTGGAGAGGTTTATAACGTCAAAGGTTTTGTGCACATTTATAACAGAAACACAGCAAATGATCCAAACGCAGCAGAGAAAATATCCTGATAAATGGTGCAAAGGTTTATGACTCAATAAAAACGCTGTCGTTGGAGAGTTTACAGCCACAGCTGCCAGTCTGAACTACAGCAAATTTCTCTATCATACCAACTTTCTTCCAACTAAAACAAGTGGAGGAACCAGAGGCTCTTTGCCTTGAATGGGGATAAAATGTAACAAAGGAGCAAAACAGATTTAGACGTTTCTGGGTTTCAAGGACAGGAAACAATCTTTATGACCTCCCTTTCCTGCAGTTTCACAAAACAAAAACGATCATTTCTGCTCATATGTAATCTCATTGTGGTAACTCTGGCTTTGTTCAGTCTGTGAACGCTGCCAGACGGATTAAATAATGGCAGGGTCCCCGGTTTGGAGCGAAAACCTGCCAGTCCAGCAGGCAGCAGCTGAGATTCCAGACATTTTCCTCCGGATAACGGACTCCACATCTCACCCACTGAGAAATATACAAGCTGCCACCCACACCCACCTGGATTCACAAGCCTGTTGTGCAGTTACGGCTCGTTTGCCTTTCTTGACCATTGATAATAGCCATTTCTATGTGCTCCAGCTCTAGGTGTCTATCCAGACTCCAGAGGAAAGCAAACGCCCAGCACAGAGGCCTCCAGTCGATGCCAGCCTCTGTTTCCAATTTGGTACCAAAATAATGAACAAGAAGAAAAACACAAACCTCACATTCCCAGTTTAAACGGTAAACCTTCCAGTCCAGCAGTCAGCAGCCAGAATCCAAACTTTTTAGGCTCCGATAATAAACTTATTACGCGTCCAACTGTGAAGGAAGTCTGTGCTGTACGTAAAATAACAGCAGAAATAAAGGATTCACTTTTAATCTGCAAACCATTTTACGTCTTAGAGGGGAGAAAAGTTTTCTGAACCTGCTAAGCAACAGTTTCAACTGTGCAACCCCAAAAACCACAACTCTGTCGGATATTTACTGAAAATTAAGGTCTGTGATAAAATGCACAAATATTCCTCTGGAGAAAATTTCCACATTTTGCTCAGTTGAAATCGATAAAACAGCTGCAGTTCACATGAAACCACGTCCAAGTTCATGTCACAGATTTCCATTTTAAATGGATGATTATAAAGTATGACATCATATAATTATATTCAAATAAGTTCTGGAAATGGAAACAAGGTTAATCTACCAGGAATAAAACAAATATATGGAAGGAAAAGAGGCTCAAATGCTCCTTTTGGCTTTAAAACTGTCAGGGAAGAAAAACTTGCATTAAAATCATCAAACCTCAAATTGTAACAGTAAAAACTTTCCAAGCAGCATTTTGGATATTTGATACTGTAATTTGTCTTGTGTTTTATTTTAAGAACATGTTTTGTTGTTGAAATTACAGAATAAAAACTTACATAAACATTAAAAAATGATCCGAGCACACGGCCCTGAGGGACTCCATCAGACTGATTCGCTTCAGATTCACAGATTTTCTTTTCGTTCCATAATTATTGATTCCGTCTGAACAGTAAAAACTCCTGGTGAACAAAGAGTTCATGAGGAATCTGAAGATCAGCAAACAACCCGACTGTCAGGACCGAACCGAACTTCCACTGAACTTTGTTCTGCATTTCAGAAGCTAATCAGTTGCGGGGACATTAGATACGTGCTTGTTTACTGGCAGCTGCGTAACCACATAAGTCATCAGGAAACCAGCGGGTTTCTGCACTTCCTGCAGAATGCAAAGTACTCTACGTACCTTGGGTCGCGTACTGTAACCCTCCTCTGGTGTGTAACCATCAGAGGCAAGAATGAGACGCATCTTTCAGAGTCGCTGTTTTCTGGGTTTGACTCAAACTGAACATAAACAACCAACGTGGGTTTGTTCCAGTTCAGCCGACCATCTGACCGCCTTCACAGAGGGAACGACTGCAGATCTGCCACAACTTCGGCAAAAGCACCAAAAACATGACAACAAGCCATCCATGCCCTACGGAGTCAGATCCACAGAGGGACGAAACTGCCTTCATATGCATTGATAAAATAAAGATTTGTTTGAACTTGGTGTCACCAAAAAAAACATTGTTCACAATTTCTCTTCCAAACATCACTGAGCTTTACTTTCTACCAGCAAACACATGTTTTCATCTGTGCAGTTTATGGCTGCAGGCGCTACATCTAACATTAATATGTGTGCCAGACAATAAACGTCTTCCCACCAAAGTTTGATATTGTTGACGTGAGGAGCGGCCATTTTGAAACGCCATCCCACCGAGTACGATGGAAAATGTGGGTTGAGATGTTGGTAACATAAATCCACAGGCTGGTCAACAAATGCTCCAGTAGTTCCCCCTGAGGGAGGCGCAAAGATGCTGCAAAGAGTCTCCACAAACCCAACAAAGTCCCCACTGCAACTGCTGGTACGAAAAATCACGACTGTCCAATCAGAAAACAAACCAGCAAGTTTCATCATCTTCCACCTCATCTGATGAAAAGACTTGAACCTCAAAGTTTGATCTTGGAGCAACTCGTCTCGCCGACTGCGACGGTCTCGTTGTGGATTGAATATGCTGGTTGAGACGTTGTTGACGTGAATCCCACTGGCCAGCCAATGAAAACTCAAGTAAGTTCCCCCTGAAAGCTGCAAGATGCTGAGAGCAGTCTCCAAAAACCCAACAATGTCAGCATGGACCAACAGCAACGTCCTGCGACTGTAGAGACAAACGAAACAAGTTTGACCTTCATAAGAAGTTTTAAACTGGAAAACCTTTGCTCTTCAAGAAACACACGAACAGACAAAGGCTTCTGGAGGAATACGAGTCTAAATCTGAATTATTTGGCACCAGGACAGAAGCATCCCAGCTAAAGAACTTCATACCAACTGTGGTTGGAGGTGAAGTGCCACGGTTTGGACCTGACCGGCTTTCCATCACAGAACCCACCATGACTTCTGCCAAAAAACATTAACGCTGAAGCAGAACTGGACCTGGAAACACGACCAAGGCTCAAAACACAGCAGAACATCCACCCAGGCCGGAGCGAAAACTGAGCAGAAACTCACTGAGATCCTGTGGGCTGAAAAAGCAGAACAGCCCTCAGAAATCTCCCACCTGAAAGTGAGAAGTGGAGCCAACTTGCCTCACACATGTAAGAGGCTTTGACAACAAACATCCGTTTCCTGTTCCTGTTTGAGCCGTTTCAGGAAACCTTGTGCCTCTCCTGCCGGCCTGGGAGTCCAGCTGCTGAGTCAACACCGGCAGCGTCTCGCCTCGCAGCAGGGCGTTGTCTCTAGATCAACACTCATTGTGGGATCCTGCTTCTCCCTGTGACTCACTGCTGGCACACAGCAAGCAGGAGGATACCTGTGTGTGTGTGTGTGTGTGTGTGTGTGTGTGTGTGTGTGTGTGTGTGTGTGTGTGTGTGTGTGTGTGTGTGTTCTGCTGGTAATGATGCAGTGAACTTTACTTTTCTAGTGTTAGTGGTTTGGATTAACAGTCATTCTGGGTTTAAATGCACTTAAAATGAATTGAACTCAATCGAGTCCAAACATGAGTAGAAATACAAACTTTAATGTTTGCAAAGACTTTTTCATCTACTTGAAATAATTTAGCATACTGTGTGGAATCAGTGTGACTGAACTGCTTTGGTTCAAACTGAAGAGTCTGAGTCCGACTGAATGAGCAGAACTTATTGTTCTGGAGGGACGGAGCTCAAGATTTAGCACATAGCATATGCTATCTACCCAGGATGCATTGCAGCACAAACAGCATGGCAATAATATAATAAAATAAAAATCAGGGAGTTTTTTTGCCTTATTGCAGTTCATTTGTTTCTAGAATATAAAGTATTTTTACAACTAATGAGGGATTCCTTTAAAAACAGGCAGCAGAGCAAAGGCAGTGGATTAGCAGAGCTTGCCAACAACTGATGGAGTCATCCTTGACATGTTACTGTGGAATATGCATGAGACTGTCAAACAGTCTTCAGTCAGAGGCTTTTTCTAACTCATTGGAGGACTGACTGCTACCACTGCTGATGTAACTTTCCTCAGTGATAAATAGAACATTTTCTAATTTGAATAAACCAGAAACACGTTAGAAAATATTCAAGGAATAAGTTTTGCATGTCAAGGAACTGACTGTCTGTGAAACATCAGAGGTTAAAGTCTAATAATAATTATGTAAGAAAGAGTCGGTTCCAGTCAGCACCAGCTGACCCAAACAGCAGCCAGGAAACCTCCAGTAGCAGCGGGACTCACGGTCTGCGCTCCGGTCTGCGGTCCGGTCTGCGCTCCGGTCTGCGCGCTTCCTGCGCCGGACAGGCCGCGCTGGAGCTGCCGCTCCCACGTCACGTCAGCCCCGCTCCGTTTCCCCACACCGCCGCTGCCGCCTCCATCTTCTCCGGTTCGGGTTTCAGCTCCAGAACACCGTCAGACATGTGGACCGGGCCGGAAACAACGGAAGCCGGTCAGTAAAAAGGTGCCGTTGGAGCCGCGGTGACCCAATCAGCGGTTCCGTGGAGCCCCATGTTGCCAGATCTGGCTAGAAAAACAGGCAACCAGCTCGATGGAAACAAACCCAAAACCAGCGATCAGCCCGTTTTAACCAGAATTAAAACTTTAATCTGCTGGAGAACAATAATGAACAAAACTAATAAATATCCACAATTTATACAATTAATCAGAGGAGACAATTATAAATAACCCATATCAACTTATTTATTTATTTGTATTATCGCTTTTACTTGGTTTTATCTGATTTATGTATAATTAACTTCCGGTTTAGGTTTAATGCTTTTATTTTAAAAATACTGTTCTATTTCCGGTTTTGTATTATTGAACGGAAGCTTAATGAAAACAACAGAGTTTAAAACTGTTCCTGTTTCACACTGGATACTAAACTAACATCTGTAAAAACACAGAGATGTTTTTAGATCAAACATAACGGTTTTAGTTTAGGATCTGTGCATAAATGCAGTTTTGTGTGTGTGACTTGTGCGTACGTTTTCAACATTTGTAGGCTTTGGAGGAGGTTTATTTTGTTTTAAGGTTTACAAATCCAGTATTGTGCAGATATTTTGAGACTATTTTCACTCCATACATTCAAATTTAAAGTTTATTCGAGGAATTTTTGTTGTCATACCTTTTCACAATTGCTTGATTGTGGTACAAAAAATGTGAATTTGTTCTTACATTATTAAGCCGTTATATTATTTGAAGATGGTTCTCGTTTATCACAGCAACTTCTGGTCATTTTATCATCCATCGAAATCTGTTATTGTGACAAAAAAAGAGCCCTGCTGGGAGGGCGTGACATCACATTGATGAAGTCACACAGCCTGATGATGTCATCAATGGCGTCGCTTGATGGCGCAGCCTCTGTCTGACTCATCAGAATCCATTTCACTGGATTCCGATGAGTCACGTCGAGCTTCGCGTTGCGCAGCTGTCTGACCTGCGTCACGTTTTGCTCTCACAGTTTTGGCTTCAAGCTGCGAGGAAAACGTCAGAATGTATAAAGTGGAGAAGCAGAAAGCAGGGACTGCTTTTTACAACGCTGAGAAAGTCCGCAAAAAGAACAACAAGGCGATCCAGAGGCTGCTGAAAGTCAACGCAGCGCTGGAGAACTCCTCGGACCGCAGGAGCCGCTACCAAAATCGGAAGCGGCTGGAGAAAGACGAGAAGGCGTTTTTCAAACAATGCGAGAAGCGGCTCTACAAGCTGAACTTGGAATTGACATCTGGGCTGACGAGGAGGAAAAAACTGGACAGTTTGTGCAAAAGAAGGACGATGCTTTTCGATGTGTTGAAACACACGAATGAGCAAATGATTGAAGAACCACTGATGAAGTCTTTGAACCAGGGAGCCCAACAACGTCAGGAAAGGCTGTTAATTCTCAACAAAGAGTTAAGAAAAAACGTCGGCGTCTTGTCAAGACAACTTGTTCAACAAACAAAGCTGTTTGAAGAATTCACAGAGAAAGAAAGGGAAAACAAGGAGATGATGGCGATTCAAGACAGCTACTTTAGAGAGATCAGGCAGAAATTAAAATGTACAACTTGGTCACCGTGAAGAAGAAAGTCATCTCGGATGATGAAGGCGGTGACGAAGCCAGGAGAAAGAACCAGAAACTGGACAATATGCTCAGATCGCTGAGCCAACAGGCGATCAACGTGCCAATGCTGAAATATCAGTTTCTCTGCGCCATCGACGAGAAGCGGAGGCTGAGCGCCCTCAACGGGGAGTTGGAACTAGAAATCCTGGTGTTGACGGAAAGGCTTACGGACCAGACTGGCTGGGAGATTTCCTTCGAGGAGGTGGAGAAGAAGGTCAGGGAGCTGCAGCAGACCCAGACTGCCCGTCTGAAGAAGATCGAGGAATTGAAAGGAACCGCAAAGCTTGGGACCAAATCGATGTTTTCCTCGTTTACAAAAAAAAAAAGGAAAGAGAGAAGCTGACCAAGCGCTTGAATTATTTCAAGACTAAAATCACTTCTCTCCAGAAGGAATACAAAGCCTTCCAACCAGACATTGAGGCATACATGACGGAACTTCAGGCTTCTGCTGAAGCTGCAGCAGAAAGTCTTTCAAATGCAAAGAAAGACTCTCCCAAATCCAAGAAAAACAGAGGAGTCTTCAAGTGACTCTACCAGTGATTCAGATTCTGACGACAGCACCTCTGAAGAGTCAGTCGTTTCACTCCGTCCCGTCAAGGGAAGGAAACAAACAGGACCGATGCCACTTCCTTCGTACAATTCGGAGGATGAGTCAAGGAGTAGTTCAGAGGCCACAGCGAGAGACATTCCTAGAAACAAATCGGCTGCAGAGGATTCAGAGTCTGACATCCCGGAGAAGAAAAGAGCTTCCATACCGAGGTTGATACCCAGACGTCCAAGCTCCAGGTCAGATTCTGTGGACTCAATCAGTGAGTGCAAGTGTCAACCACCGGTCTACTCTAGGAGGAAGACAATCACTCCACCTTCCCGCAGACAGTCATGGTGGAATTACATCTTCTGAGCAGAGGAGAGGTACGAAAGGTTCCTTCGTAGCTTGTAGGTCGAGTTATTTTCAATTTTGAACTGCTGGGTTTTCTCCGGGCGCTCCGGTTTGACAGTCACACCCAAAAAAACATCCATTACATCGACCACCATAAACCAATCGGCTCCATTGACCAATCGGCACCATCGACCAAACGACTCCATCAACCAATCGGCACCATCGACCATTGACCAATCGGCTCCATTGACCACCATCGGCAAAACGACTCCATCAACCAATCGGTACCATCGGCCAAATGGCTCTATCAACCAATCGGCTCCATCAACCATTGACCAATTGGCTCCGTCGACAAAACGACTCCGTCAACCAATCGGTACCATCAACCAAACGACTCCATTGACCAATCTGCACCATCGACCATTGACCAATCGTCTCCATCGACCAATCGGCTCCTTTGACCAATCGGCAGCATCGACCAATCGGCTCCATTGACCAATCGGCACCATCGACCAATCGGCTCCATCGACCATTGACCAATCGGCACCATCGACCAATCGGCTCCATCGACCATTGACCAATTGACACCATCGACCAATCGGCTCCATCAATCATCGACCAAACAGCTCCATCGACCAATCGGCTCCATCGACCATTGACCAATCGGCACCATCGACCAATCGGCTCCATCGACCATTGACCAATCGGCACCATCGACCAATCGGCTCCATCGACTACCATCGACCAAACAGCTCCATCGACCAATCGGCTCCATCGACTACCATCGGCCAAACGGCTCCAGCGACCATTGACCAATCGGCACCATTGATCATTGACCAATCGGCACCATTGACCAATCGGCACCATTGACCAATCGGCTCCATTGACCAAACGGCTCCAATCATTCCTGCCTGCAGCCATCAGAAGACGACTGACTGTGCTTTTCTATAAATCTATTTATATTTGCGTTTTTATTCATAGATTGTTTTATTTGTTCATTCTATTTATTCATTTTATATGTTTGTTACATTTAATATTTATATTTAAATAATTTACAATATCACAATTATGTCTATTTTTTTAAATAAATTTTATATTGTTTACACTTATATTTCTATGTACCAATATTTAACATGAAGTGGCTGTCAATATACAAACAATTTCCCCTTCAGATCTATCGAGAATATTCTATTCTATTCTATTCTATTCTATTCTGTTCTAGTAGTTAAAGCTGACGTCTTTCCATCTTTTAAAAACCCTATAAATGCATAAAATCTCAATATTTTTCAGTAATATTTGCTGAATAAACAGATTTTACTGTATAAATAAAATAAAACAGTATAATTCAAATTTCAATCCGTTTATTTAGTAGAAATGTTTTAAAATCCAAAGTTGGCTGTAAAAACAGGATGAGCTTCTTTAAAACTTTATTTCTTTTTATTAGTGACTGAACTGTTTTAGTTTTGAATTATCTGCCTTTTAGCTGCTTTTACGCCATTTCCAACACAAAAAAATAAAAAAAATATATTGTATTTTTTTTGTGTTTTTATAGTTATAGTTTCTCCTTCAGCCATGTTGTTGTTATAAGATGTCATCATTGTTAATGTGATGCTGTTGTCCACCGCAACGTGGAAAAATATCTTATTTCATTAGAGACAAGATAATAAAATAATTTTATTATTTCATTATAATAAGATTATTTCTTATCTTATTACAATGAAATAATAAGATAAGACATGTAAACGGATAAAACTGGTGATTAGTTTATTGGTTGATATTTGGCCGTTTCAATCAGATCCTTTTTGTCCCTAAAGACTCAAATTATAAATTGAAGTTAAAATTAAACAAAGTTAATATTTTGGCAAATCTTTAAGAGCTTTAATGTTTGTCTTGAAATAAAAGAAACTCCATTAATTTACTATTTTCTATATAAAAAGTTATTTTACTTTGTGTATCTTTAATAAATATCTAAATATTTAACAATTATTTTTTAGCCTTTGATACAAAATGAGTAAACAAAACATTTATTAAAATTAAATAAATCACATATATAGTTTTCTAGGGTTTGTAAGTTTGAGGTTAAGAATGAGTTTGAATATTCTATTGGTATTTTTGTTTATTGCTGCTGTCTTTCTTTAACCTTTTGTTCTTGCAGTTGCAGGGAAAATCCACAGCGCGGCGCTGTTGGCCATCTGTTTCCACATCTGAACGCCTGCAGTTCAACTCTTCAATGTTTTACTATTGAGATCAATTCAGTACAGAATCACCTCTAGGAACAGATTTTATATATATATATTTATATAAAAATAACTTCTTCTCCGTTTCCAGCTCCTCTTTGCCGTCCAGCAGGTTTTCCAACAGGATCGTTTTGTTTTTTCTCCCGCGTCTCCACAGGATGATGCTGCCACCACCGTGTTTCACCTTAGAGATTCAGAGTTCAGGGTAATAAATAAGTTCCTCCACCTGGAGGCGACAACAAAAATGTTTTGTGTACCCCAAACATTACTTACTATAGCAACACAACTTTTTTAAAAAAAAATACTTTTCATATTTCTTTGATTTTTCATGTTGCAAAACAAAAACCTTAATTTGAATTACAAATGAAAGAAATCTGGAAATCTGAAAAGTGTGGCATACAATCAACCATTTACTCATATGAAGCCATTTTGAATTGATCTGAACTCCCAGCCTGTGTGGCGAAACACGGCGGTGGCAGCATCATGCTGGAGGGAAGCAGGTCAGAGTTAATGATGAGATAATCAGATTTTTCTAAATGAGACTTTCACAAATCAAATAAACCAAAATTAGTTTTATTTTTATTTATCTTTTACTCCTCAACAATAAACTGAACATGCAATATTTTTATTAAATGAGAAGTTTGCATCAACCCTACAGCGACCACAAAAAGTTCTTACAAGGGCCACAAATGGGCCCACGCTCCTCATTTTAGAAACACCTGAACTACAGAGCTGCATCTTCCATCAGGACAATGACCCAAAACTAGAATGTGAGTGGTCCAGTCAAAGTCCAGGCTTAGATTCAGATTTGGAAACTGATCAGAGATGTTCAGCATCAGAAGGAGCTGAAGAGTCAGCAAGTTTTCCATCCTGACCTTCAGATTCTTACCTGTCTGAGAAACAGCTGTGGTTGGTTGAGAAGCAGGAAGTGTTACTGTGTGTGTGTGTGTAGGTGTGTGTGTGTAGGTGTGTGTGTGTGTGCGGTTTGGTTTTTCCAGCTCATTATCTTATCTGTGATCAGTGTCTGCGGCTCGGACTCAGTGAAAGCTGCTGCAGGTGTCGTGGGCGTTGTTTGTGGAAATGTTAAATGTTTCTCCCAAAGGTAACAGACAGAAAGGACTCGACTGTTTACAGAGTCGCCTTTCACTAAAGACGGAAACAATCTAAAAATACGCTTCAAAGCAAAACCTTTCATCTGTTGTGTTGCTTTTTGTATTTGGGACTTTAAATAACTGATGATCCAGTTCGGATTCAAACTAACCGTTTCTCTGCTCTGTGTTTGAAGCCTGGTGTCTTGTTGTTCTTGACTCAGAAACATTTTTGGTGCCTGTAAGTTTTACTTGGATTGCGCCAAACGTAAAGAGATGCAACTTATCAACTGGTGAAATTTCTGCCAATATCTTAAGTTAAGTCTGTCTCAGAGATTTTAATCTGTTAACATTTTTGGCCAATTAATCATATTTTTTAAATTTTGATTTTGATTGTTTATTGCAAAGGTTTCGGGGCGGAACCATCATACTGCCGTGTTTCTAGTACTGCCGTAAATCTGACGCGCATCCCCAAAAAACATCAGCAGAAGATGAATCTGCTTCTCTCGGCAAACTGGGGGTTAATTTGTGCTTCTAAGCGATCTGATTGGACGCTGGTGAAGGTGTGCTAAAAGGAGCTAGCCTTTATTCAGGTTAGCATCTCAAAGCTAACCATGTTGCTAACGCTAATGTCAGCGTCCTCGTTCTTAAATGACTCACATGAACGCTTCCTGAAACTCTTTACATCAATCTGATGGTTGGATGACATGAATAGCAATAAATATATAATAAATATAGCGTTCAGATGTTGATTTATTCAGTAATTTAGCAACAGTAGTTGCTTATCTGTAGACATGTATTGTGTTATTAACGGACATTCAGTAAAAATAACAGATTATTTTATTCCACAGTTTATTTAAAGCTTAAATTCTAATCCAAAAGTGGCTTAAAATACACGTTTTGCATAAAAAGCAGAAATAATGAACACGTTTTATCACTGATTCATTATTCCAGTTAAAGTAAGTGACATGTTGGATTATTAAAGACACGGTGAATTTTAATGTGAAGTTTTATGATGAAAAATTCACTTTTATTCTGAATTAAAGTCTGATCTCTTCATTATCCTGTTTCTCATCCACACTGAAAAAACAAAACTGGTCTTTTATGAAATGATTTGGATAAAATGAATTTTATCCAAATCAATTGATCAAATTGTCCTGTTTAGAAAAGTGAATGAATTTCACTTTTAAATAAATTTAAACTCAATCTACATAAAACTAACAAACTATTTTTTTAAGTTGTAGCTGCATTCTCTTTTTTCAGTGTAACTGGAGCTGAACCAAAACGTCCTAGTCCAAACATGTCCATCTGCAGCCTCCGTATCGATGACTGCGGGTATCGATGGGGGGCGGGTTGCGGGGCGGGTTGCGGGCGGACCGGGCCGCCTATAAATGGAGCAGGTTGCGGGTTTGTCTCACCTGGGCGAACCGGAGCATCTTCCAGCAGCAGCAACAGGTGCGTGAGAGTCACCGCCCCGCACGCGCCCGCAGCTTGCAGTGACTTTTCAACCTGGACGTAAACCTGAAGGTCGTCGCGTCCCGCAGCGATGAGCCTCCAGTTGGTGCTGATGTTTGGCGTCGGGGCCGCGCTCCTCCGCGTGGACGCGCGCGTCCGCCTGAACTCCATCAGGACCGTGATCCTGTCTGAAGGCCACGCGCTGCCCGTGAACAGGAGCGCGTGGGGACGTGGCGTGGACCTGACGGTGAGTGGAAGCAGCACGACTGTAAACACCTGAGATCTGATCTGCTGAGGGGCCAAAGGTGACAGAGAAAAACAACAACAAACAACAGAGTGAAAACAGCTCTGCTGGTGAAGGAGCTTCAGATCCAGGTTTTACTTTTTGACATTCTGTTTGTTCCAGTTTCTAAAGTTACATTTATGAAAGTTTGTTGTTTTTAAATCCTAATAGCCGCCGCATTATGTCCATTACGCACTCTTCCGTTTGCCCATATAAGGAAGACGCTGTGTTGGAGCGCAGCTGATTCATTACAGAGACAGACAATCGGCATTTCCATTTAAAAGCGGGTAGATCGCTGAGAGGGTCAGAGGTCAGAGGTCAGGCTGATTCCTCTACAGGAAACCTCCTCTTGGAGAGGACATGCAGAGCTCTGCTAGCTTTTAGAGAAGGTTGGCCTGCTGCTGTTTCAGCTTTGTTTGATTTGGTTTCTGTGATGCATTTATGTTTTGGTTATTTATTGATTAATTTTTTTATTCTTTTGGGGGTTTGTGGTTTAAGGAAGGGGCGTTTATTGCCCAGCCCTCCAGGCTCGCTAGTAAATAAAATAACCTGCTGTTCCTGGTTCAGCTGTTTTATCTAGGAGACGAGTGGAAGGGGAGTTTCTTCCTGTTGCGTTATTCACAGGGAGTCTTTCTTTTGTTGTGAGTGTTTTTGTTTGGGAACACATAGGTGTATTCAGTTACTTTTGTTTATTATTTCTCCCCCCAGCAGTCTGATTTTATTTAATCAGAGTAATCAGCTGAAAGGTTTCCAGGGCCAGCATAGATTTAAGATTTTAAAGTGGTCAATATTGTACAATGAAATGAATTAACTATTTATGCCTGAGGGTTATTGTGAGTAAATAAACTGGTTAATTTGCATCAGTGCCTCTGATTATTTTTTACAAACTAATGTGTGATCTGGTAAAAATAAAACACCAGAGAATTTAAGGTTCTTCACACATAACTAAACCGAGGTCACACTAAGAAACATTTTCCTCACATGGAGCCAGTAAAACATTATAGATGGAAAGCAGCAAAATCCAGGAGGAAACTGCAAGACAAAACAACTCCAGAGGATTTATTTTCTAATTTGGGGAATATTTTAGTGTTTCAGTAAAAAAAAAAAAAAAAACTAAATAGACCTGATTATAGGATGGAAGTTAAATTTAAACATCAAAAAACATTAGAACAACTTGAGCAACAATATCTGATTGTTATATTTTTACTAACCAAGAATAACCAAGAGAAAAAGATTTTCAAAATAAAAGCTCTGCATTTTAGCTCCATAGATCATGAATGAAGATACTCAGTTCCTACTTGAAGTTTATTCTCACAGCTAGCATACGCTAACATCTTGGTGTCCAGGTTTTGATTTTTATTTCATCTGCTATGTTTTTACAGTTATTACCGTGTTTATATGTCACAAAGCTCCGTCTCTTCCAACAAACATGTCAAAATGCTTCAGTCTTCATCATAAAGTTTCTTAATCTACTTCCTAATCTGCTACTGCGCTTCAGATTTGACCAATTTATCTGCAGCTATTCAATAATTTTAACAATTAAACATTAAAATGTATCAATAAATTGTCTCAGGATTCCTAACTATCAGCAACAATGTTTCAAATTTTCTCTACAAACCATTTAAAATGTTTCAAGCTTCATTAAACCGACGACAATGTTCCTGAAGAATCTATTGTTTTGTTCAGATCGTATCAAAATGTCTGCTTCAATGTTTCACTGTTAAAATGTTTCAAAATGTTTAACTCTGTTATACATCTGTTACAGTTGAAAAAGTTTCTTAACAAACCAGAATGAAAATGTTTCAAACCTGGACGGTCTGTTAAAATGTGTTAATCTCGATATTCTGAGTAATCCCATGTTTGAGATGAATACTCAGGATATTTTGGTGTAACTTGGTGGCTCTGTCTGTTGGTTGGTTTCGGTGCAGCTCCACCAGTGCATGAGCGACCTGGAGTGCACCATGGGAAAATACTGCCACGTCCCGACCAGAGGCCCCGCCCATTCCCGCTGCCACGCCTGCCGCAGGAGGAGCAGGCGCTGCGTCAGGGATACCATGTGTTGCCCCGGCAACCGCTGCAGCAGCAGTAAGACCTGCTTTTAAAACGATGGTCATATAATCTAAAAATATGGAGAATTTCAACATGGATTATTTGCTTTGTTGTTTTGCAGACGTTTGTGTTCCTGAGCTGGTCGGTTTTTGGCCTCAGAGTGTCCTGGACGCTGACGGAGACATGAACCCAGCATCTAACAGAGGATGGAGGAAACGAGGGAGGGTGAACCTTAAAGGGTCTTCTGCTACAGGTACATTTGTTCTCTCCGCTCTCAGTCAAACCAGCCTGTTCCCCTCCTGGCCTGTGGGGGCGCTGCACCAAGAACCAGTGGAGGAAATGACACAAAAGCCTCTGAAGACGCTGAGAGCAACTTCCTTCTTTATTAAATGGAAACAGAAATGGAGTTTGATCAGGTTTCAGTAGCTGTAGGATTTCTGTTTTGTGTTTGGTAAAAGAAAAGGAGCCATTTTTTCTGCTAGCGCTAGGCTAGCAGGTTTGTTTTGGTTGGATTTTCCACTATATTAATTTTTCTGGACAAAATGGTGAAGAACTAATTTATTTGTTTGGTAAACTTTTAGTAATGATGTCAAACAGGAAGCCTGATTGGTCCACATAATGGCAGCTGGCTGTGTCTTTTTTAATCAATGAACTTTCTATTGAAACGGCCTGGAGTTTGTTGACCAGAGAGGTTTTGTGTTCTGGTTCTGCAGGTCAGGTAGGCGACCTGTGCCTCCGCTCCTCTGACTGCTCAGACGGGTTGTGCTGCGCTCGCCACTTCTGGGCCCGGATCTGCAAGCCGGTGTTGCGGGAGGGCCAGGTTTGCACGCGTCAGCGGCGTAAAGGCCACCAGGGCTTGGAGCTGTTCCAGCGCTGCTCGTGCGGCGCCGGACTCACCTGCCGGGCCGCGCCGGACCCAAACAGCCAGACTCCGCCACCGCGGCCATCTTTGCTGCTGGACCAAGCTGCGAAATCCAAGTTTGAGGTTTCCCCTTCCTTGTCTCGGCACGCCTCTTCCCACACCTCGGTGCTGGGCCGCGACCTCGTCGTCTTCAGTGGCGGCGAAGACGAGACTCCATGTGTGTCAGAGGAAATAAGGTGGACACAATAACGGACTGATGGAGGGATGAACGGAGCAAATCTCCTCTGTCTGTGATCGAGGCCTGAGGCAACGAGAGGCAGACAGATTTGTAAAAGAAAGAGTGAATTACATTCCTGTTTACACTTGTGAAATTCCCTGAGTGTCTCCTTCAATATCTGGGAGGTCACCAGCTTCCTGTCACGCCAGCTGAAGGAGAAAGGAAACTTTTAGACATTGGGATGTGATTTCCTTCTGGGCGTCTAGACAAACCGAAACCGCTTTGAAATCCAGTCTGACCCCAACAACACAACGTTGATGCATATCTGATCTAATTCACACATTGTTTTCACTCTTCATCACTAAATCTACAAAGAAACCGAGTTCAGATATCTGGTCACTTTAGCATAAAATATTAGTCAATTTAGTCAACATTTGAATTATGTTTTCAATAAATAACTATTCCATCTTTATAACATTGTAAACAGGTTCCATCGCTCTGACTCCAATCCAGCCGTTCACCATTCCTTTCACATTCTGTTTTAAACTTATTAAAAAAAACATTTTGTGTCAATATTATCATACTTTTTACATTTTAACTAATTTTACTGGGTTTATTCTCTGAGTAAAAACTAAATGAATGAATTAATTTTTTCCAGACTGTTTTATTGCACTGATATTTTGAATTGGTTTTCTATAAATATTGTATTTTGTGGTAAATCTGGGTGAAATTATTCACATTTAATGAGTTTAACTGAAAGTTTATTAAATGTTTTGTGAATAAATTTTTCTTCTTGCTATAGTTTTCTGTTTTGTGCTAAAAGCACCTTTACTACACAACCCCTCTGAACCCTATTTACCGTATTCTCTGCTTCATTTCTCCCAATAGATGTTATGCTAGCTGGCTAAGCTAGCACTAGCCAGCAGTCTCTTCCTGGATTCAACCATTTCCAGTTATGAGCTTCAAACTGTTAACTTTCTGGGTCACAGATATAAATTAATGTTGGGCTCAAATACACCTGATTTTATGTGTATTTTATCTATATTTGACTTTATGTTTTTGCTAGCAGCTAGCTTGTATTAGCCAAGTTTATTGATAAGACTTGACACAGAATAACAATAAAGCTTTTTAAAATCCTTTTTTTCGTCATTGAGATGTTTGTAATTTCTAGTTTTAACTGATATTATCTATGAGCCAGAGTTTCCTTAAGTGCTTCTGATGTGACCGTCTCCTCTAAGCAGGTACTGAAGGCTGCGGGTGCAAAACGTCAGGAAGATAAAAATACCAAATGATTTCATTATAACTGTCATTTCCAAACATAAATATCAAATTTTGTGAAATCAGTCAGGATCAGGAGAAAAGTTTGTTAAAATGTGGAAAAGAAATTTAAAGATTTGGTTGACAATGAAGCACTGATTAGAAACTGATGAGACTATTTTAGCTAAATATTTTACATCTGGAAAACCGTATTAGATTTAAAACTTTAAACACAAACATGAGCAGCCACATTAATAACTGGTTCTGTAACTCCAGTGGCATTCACACTGTAATTAGATACTGAGATTCAAATAGTGACATTTTGAAGAGCCAGGTGTTTTTGTATTTAATCCCTTAAACCGGTCTGACAGGAATGAGACATTAAGCTAAATTTACACCCAGCTGGTGCTTGAAGGTCCCACCAGAGTTTGGTTCAGGCTGGGTGGGTTCTGGTCGGCCCAGGATGTTTGGACCCACTGGGTCCATTGAACAGAATCCATTTGGGGAACCCTGCTGACCACCAGGGTAGTTCTTCATATCAAAGAACCCAATCAGTTCAAAATAGGCAAAATGTAAAAATCCAACATGGGTCCAACATCTGGGTTTCTCAGACCATATGGGTCTCATTTAAAGTAAATATTAGGATAAAACCGCATTAAATTATACCAACTTATGGTGAATAAATCTGGTTGGTAGTTTGTATAACGATAAACAGCCTCAAAAGGCCATTTAAGGTTCTATCTTCATGTTTTTGTGTAACTTTGTTCAACATTATTTCAGAATAAATCTTTCTCAGTGCTGCCCTCTGTCGGTGCTGAGGCAATCTTCATCACAGTTTAAAACCAGGAGACTCAGGCCCACAGCTCCCCCTGGTGGCGAGGCAGGTTAGACTCCCCACAATGGCCGGGGGTTTTGGCTCTGCTTTAGGGAGGATTGGCTTTCAGAGAGGTTGGTTACATTTTAATAAACTCAAAATTCTTCTCTAACTCAGTATTTCCTGTATGTTTGGAGTGATTAGTATATTTCAGTGGTTCATCTGTTTAACTCCCAGTGGTCATTTAGACCATCATTTATTTAATTTTAAGTCAGTATGACTCGTTCTCCAACCAACCACCAAATAACAAAATTTAGATGTAAGTAAGCTGAGATAAGTACAGAAAGTGTATTATTATTATTATTATTCCTGTAGCTCAAACTGCACTATAACATTCCATTTCCAAACAAGTCTTCAGACCAAAACTCTATTAACATTTTAAATGCTGACATTGTTACATTTCTACAGCTGAATGAATCTAAAAAGCTTTGCTATAAAAAGCTTTGCTTAGGTTGATATGAGTTAAATATCTGATATGTGGAAAAGCCGAAGTTTCCTGCAGCCTGATCTGATCTGATCTGATCTTCTGCAGGTTTTCCTTCAGGCAGACCAGAGTTTCCCTGTTTGTGAGGAACGGCTGTTCTGACTGCTGAAGATAAGCTCAGCGGGTCTCTTCCGTTCGTTTCCGCCAGAGTTTCCCCGTTCTGGCACGTCCGCAGTTGGTCATCAATCTGCATTGTCGTCACATTTCCATCTGGTTCCCCGTTTCGCTGATGTCACGGGTTTGTTTCATGGCTCTGATTTGGATCTGAGAACAAAACTCTGATGGTTCACTTTCAGCTGTGTGATTCCTGAACCGAAGGAGGCCCAGGAACCCACTGACCCGTCAGACACCAAAGAGCTAACTGGCTAGCATGGCAGGCTATGTTAGCAGCTAGTTAGCATCCAGTTAGTAGATAGTTAGTGGATAGTTAGCGGCTAGTTAGTGGCTAGTTAGTGACTAGTTATCAGATAGCAGATAGTTAGTGAATAGTTAGCAGATAGTTAGCTGCTAGTTAGTTGTTTAACAATTAGTTAGCGGATAGCTAGCATCTGGTTAGTGGATAGTTAGCAGCTAGTTAGTAACTAGTTAGCATCTGGTTAACAGATAGTTAGCAGCTACTTAGCTACTTCCTCCTGTCTCAGAAAGAAAAGAATCAAACTTTTGTCTAACGGAAAAATCCTACAACACAAAAACAAACACATAAACATAGAATATGAGATTAAATGATTCTGCCACGACAAAATCAATTAGGATCAAACATTAATCACAGGTCAGTCCTGTCTGTTCATTAATGGAAACCTGCTTCCTGGATGTGGCCTGATGTGTCAACACAGTTTGTTTAAAGAGAAGCCTGAGAAACACGAAGTGAAATAACTGAAGTTTATGACTAACAGACTGAACATCACAGCAACATGATCATTTTAATGATGAAGCTCAGAGCAGATGTTGTGTTTTCTGTCCACTGACAGCAGGTCACATGATTAAATCAATAAATTTACATTTGATTTTGTGTTTTATTACAGTATAAAACCAGATGAAAGTCAACACACAGTCATCAGCGCTGCAGTATGAGGAATTGCAGAGACGTTTGTCACTTTTATGGGGCAATAAATCCTGAGCCGAGCAGCAGATATGAGAGGCTGGTTACACTTTAACCTGAAGCCACTCCTGCAGCTTCCTGTGCTGACCGGACCCGGAACCCGGTCTGCTGCACCTGCACAGGTACGACCAGGTGAGAAAACGTTTTATTTTCAATCTTTTGATCGTCCTGAAGGACAGAAAGGCGACTCAAACAGGTTAGACCGACTCATGGAGCTAGAAGACAGAAGCTGCCGTGGTTTGTTTGTTTCTCTATCTGCAAACTGAAATGCAATAAAATCTCATCGTTTCATCAGATGGACGCTAAACTCGGTTTCCATGACAACCCCCTGAGTCGGCTGATGACAGCAAGAGAAGAACAAAGGGACGTTGTGGCTTTAAATGTGCTGTTGCTAGGAGACAGGCAGAGTGGGCGGAGCTCCGTGGGGAACGCTCTCATTGGTCAGTCCCGGAGAGCAGATTTTCCTTCTGGTTCATGTTTTCGTGTGAATCTAACGACGTTTCTCGCCGGTTAAAGGCGGCGACGAATTTCAGACGGGGACCTGCGTTTCCGGCGTCTCCATGACGACGAGCTCCGGGTCCTGAGCAGGAAGTTTCCCGCGTACTTCCGGAGGCAGGGGGCGGAGTCTGACCTCCTGCTCAGCGTCCTGGACACGCCCCCCGGGAAGCTCCGCCCACAGCGCCTGCGGGCGCTCTGCCCCGGCGGCCTTCACGTGTTGGTGGTCGTAATAAGAGCCGATCAGCTGCAGGAAAACTCACAGCTGCTGAGCAACACAGAGGTACAAACATTCAGATCTGCTCCCATAATCCTCTGTCTGATTTACGTAATCTGAATTTCATCCCAACCTGTTTCTGCTTGGCGGTGCGTTTATTTCTACTTGTGTTTTCGAACCTTTGGGTCGGAAAAATGTCAAGTCCAAAACTCTGTCATGTTCACGTTATCCTAGAAATTAGACTTTTTAATCTTTTTATTAATTCCTGTAAGAAAAAGTGATCATGTGAAAAATGCAGTTTATCAAGTTTCATCAATTATGTCAACAGACCAATCCTTCATTTGTGAATTTACTTAAATGAAGGTGAAACAGTGCAGAGCGCTTACACTAACAATCAAATTTACAGGAAAAGTCACACAGGAAAGGCACAAAATTAAAGTCCTAATCAATGTGTGTAATATACCATTTGATATCAAGGTTATTTTACTTATTCTGTCAAATAAAATGATTTCTCCCAACAACTGGTCCCAGTAGAAGCGACTGGTGATGTTTGCTTAGTGTAACCTCTTTCTGTTTCCCGTCTAACTGAAATGAAACAAATGAACTTGACTGATATAAACGTCTAACTGCCTGAATAATTCATAACAGTCCACAAACAAAACCTCAACACAGACGTTGAACTTTACAGAGCCTACAAAACATCCAGGTCAATTTATCCAAAGATTCATTCAGGAGAAGCTGGATGTGCTAAATGTTTTCAGAGCTAATTGCTAACTAAATTAAAAATTAGCTGCGCTATTAGCGCATTAGCGGTCACTAACGCATTTCCTGATGGGACAATAATCCTTTTTTTTTCTTCAGAAACATGTTAAGACTGTTTAAAACATTTTTTGCCTTTCAGAGTCTCTTCGGTCCAGACTGGCGTCATCACGCCATGCTCGTCCTCACGCACGCTGATCACCTGGAGAAGGCGGGGCTTCAACCGCCTGCGTTCCTCACCCAGAGCGCTGATTGGCTGAGCTCTCTGGCCGAGGAGGTTGGGGAGGGGTTTCGTTTTTGGACAACAGCTCTGATTGGCCATCAGTCAGAGGCCGCCCAATCAGGGATCAAGTGCTCCGCCTCTCAGCGAAGAACCATCACAAAGCTCTGCAATTTAGGTCAGACCAATCACTCTGACACAAATTCTGAGGACCAAAGCCATCAACGTTAATGTGGGTTTTAGGCCCGTAATAAACAAATATCGTAATTATTGCGATATATGATCATATTTAGAGTAGTATTTTGAAAGACCAATAAATTTTAATTTTGTATAGAACATTCAACTCTAAAACTGGAAGACATTTAAAATATAAATGTTAATTTTTATGCATATTTTGAAAAGTGCAATTTAATCAATACTTTTCAACACGTTTGAAGAAACTTTAGTGGCAGCTATGTTAACCATAACCAGCATTTGAAATAAAATAATAATTACATGAAATAATTAAAAAGCAACAGAAAAAAACATTCTTTTGTCTGTTTATTTTAGTATTTTGTCTTTGCTCTGTCAGTTCATTTGCAGCCACAACAGCAGAAACGTCTTCCAGCAGTTATTACACACATGAGCCAGAAGGGGGCAGTTTTCTATCTGATGGTGCAGCTGGTGAGAGATGGAGCCCTGCACAGCCCCTTCCCCTTCACCTCAAACCCACAGCCTTTGTAGTTGGCCACACCTTTACCGTCCACCTGCAGGTCAGGCAGCAGCAGCTCCCAGATCCTCTGCTTGGAAGGAAGTTCACCGTCCGGCTC